AGAATTTTGCATCCGGCGCAATAGAAAATAGACATTTTATTTTCCCGAATCCATCTCAACCCTACAAACACCTTGTGCACATGTGGTAGCATATTTACACAAATATTATCAAGGGTGTTAGCACTCCACTAGATCCTAAATGCATATGCAATGAGTTAGAGCATCTAGTGGCACTTTGATAACCGCATTCCGATACGAGTTTCACCCCCTCTTAATAGTACGACTATCAAACCTAAATGTGATCACACTCTCTAAGTGTCTTGATCACCAAAATAAAATAGCTCCTATATGTTATACCTTTGCCTTGAGCTTTTTGTTTTTCTTTTTCTTCTCTTCAAGTTTAAGCCCTTGATCATCTCCATGCTATCACCATTGTCATGTTATGATCTTCATTTGCTTCTCTACTTGAAGTGTGCTACCTATCTCATGATCACTTGATGAACTAAATTAGCACTTAGGGTTTCATCAATTTACCAAAACCAAACTAGAGCTTTCACCGGGCGGTTCGCCATCCCAAGCGGACCGAACTCTTTTCCCGCAGAGGGGATACGGGTCAAAAAGCTTCTTCTCTGGCCCGCCTGGGCCCAGGATTCCAAGGGCCGGCCCAACAGTCTCGACGGCCGTCCCAATGAGGGATGGCCCATGGAGCCACCAGACTCGTGTACACACGAGCATTAGTGGAGCCTCGATCCATAGTCGAGCCTCACCAGTGATACCGGATGAAATCATGCGGGATACCGGGGTTCCTTAAACTATCCATTGATAATACCAAATCTCACATTACCTGAAGGGTCCGAATTACCCAGGCGATTCACTGCCCCAAACCACCCGGGGCTCAAGGGGACTCGGCAGAAGGGTCCACACCCCTCGACGACGAAATACCCCCGTGCCGATTCCCCGAATCACCCGGGGTCCACAGATGGATGCGCTGCAGCGTGCCCTCTAGCGAATCAAAAATACCCACTTCTCGCCGAATCACCCGGGGCTCGAAACTGGACCCGCCCTGCGCTCACGATCCGACAAATCAAAACACCCCATTCCGCCTCATCACCCGGGGCTTGGGGGCTACTCTCGCCCATAATTGGAGTACCCAAAGTGAGGTGGAATTAATAACCATCGAACGTTGACACTTTCGGTCGGACAAGCACGCCATCTGCGCTTCTTGCCCAAACGATGGAAGATTGGTCTCTACCTTTGGGCTTTTGGCTAAGGGCTGGCCCACCTCGCCGACGTCCGAGAGGGCGGCTCCGCCCGTCTCTTGGGGCTGACTCCGCCTAAAAGGCTAAGGGCGGCTCCTCCTTGTCCGACGGCCGATCGACTTTTGTCCGACGTCGAGGGCGGGCTTTCGCCACAGACAAGGGCTAGACTCCGCCTCGCCCGGGTGGCTAAGGCGAGGCTCCGCCATGCTTTCGACGGCTAAGGGCTAGCCCGCCTTTAACGTCCTTTCGACCTTCCACGCCCAGACGACTTGGGACATGTCCCTCTCGATCGCACCATGATCCTTCATAAAGACGAGCACAGGTACGACAATAATATTTGAGTCAACCGCAGATCGAGGGCCATGCCCCATCGCTTTTAAGCCCTTTTCACCATGATATATGGGATCCGCTTTAAGCCCTTTAGTACACCAACAAGTGTTGTAGGCGTCGACTTTTGTTCCACACGTGTTGTATTATAAATTTACTAGACGCGGATACTAACGCAAATGCGACAACCACTACGATCAAGATAGAATTTCACCTAAAGTGAAAACTTCCCGTCTACTCCCGGGCACAATAACTGTTTTAAACACGCCGCGCATCCATCCGGCGTGGGAGGATGGGACGCACCCACTTTTGACAGAGGCCGTGGCACGACCCTATCGGATCGGCGAACATGCCATCCGCGACACGATGTTTGTTAGCGTGAATGAACACTCAAAAAAGGAAGACCCGCTCACACCAACCTTCTCTACATTTGGTTTTTTCCTCTTTCCCCCATCTGTAACCCATGCTCCCCCTTGGTCTATAAAAGGGAGGGCAGGGCACCCCATTAAGGGGACCGACTTTTGATCGATCGTTTTTAACACACAACACACAGTCAAGCAGCAACCGAGCTCTTGGCGTCCTTTCGACCATTCCATCAGAGACTTGGGACATGTCCCTCTCTCGATCGTTTGTACCTCCTACTACGAACCTTTTTCGGTACTAATAACACGAGCAGCAGCAGACTGGACGTAGGAACGTTCTGCCCGAACTAGTATAAACCTTGTGTCCTTTAGTACACCATCCGAGCCTAACGCGTAACAATTATAAATTTATTAGCCGGTGCTTGTTCGAAACACCGACAATATTTAAAAAAAAATCTAGAGCACAATATGTTTTAAATGTTGTGTTGGAGTTTTGTTTAGGAGCGCTAAAATCATAAAACGCGTTCATGTTTATTGTACGTAAACTCATGTCGCGATCACTAGCTCACACCAAAGTAAATACAATAACAATAAGCAAAACTATGGACACCATGTCCACAACAAAAACACTGCACCTAAATGACAAAGGCTATGCACAATGGTTCACGCGTTTTTCGTAAATGCATGACCCCTCATAAACCCATTGTCGTCTAAGAAGAAAACCTAGTTGTTAGGTTACAGCTAGACGGTGAGACTCTCACCGTACATACGGTGCGCAAAAAGATGTTGTGTTAATGGCTGGCAGCTTGAATATAGGGCAGTAAGGTGATGAAGTCTCACTGTGGCCATCAACGGTGGGTGCGAGCAGTGGATGAGGCTAGGATTAGGGCGCTATGAGGAGGAGAAGGGATAAAGGGGAAGGGGTCAGGGGAGGACAAGATCGAGGTAATTGAGCAATGGTGGGTGGATGGTGGAGTGCCACGATAGAATAGGAAGAGCAAGTAGTGGATGAAGAGGAAGTGATGATCTGGTGGAATAATCAAGGCTCCCAGAATTGTAGCGAGTGGCGGCATGTGTAGGTGGAACAAGGACAACAATAAAAAGATATATATCGATGAGTTAAAAGATAAATTTAGACCAATACTAGCACATTTGACAGTCAAAAAAAAATTACTAGTACATTTGACAATAACACCAGGTGACATCACTTGCACAGTAGATATGTCGTCTTTTAAGGTCTGCATGGTTTTCATCCAAGAGCAAGTATAATAAGGCTTAGTCAGCAGGCTGCACCATGTTACATGTCATCAAAATCCTAAGTGGAGCAGCGAGAAGATAAGAGAGAGAAGGAAGCGGGCGGTTCATGCATCGCCTCGGCTGAATCACATGTTACGAGATAGAAACGCATGCTCTCACTCTCAGCCCGGTCTCGACACGATAACTCGGCGCTTGCTTGACCCACGTCATAACTTTCTGATCCCGTGTGCCGATACTACCCTCCCAGCTCCCACGCCTGAAGGGCCACACGGGATACTAGACCGCACTAGATCGTGTATGTACACGCACACATTAAATGCTCACTCTGTGTTGAACCAACCTAATAGCCGGTTAATAGTTAGCCTATTATATCAGTTAACTACAGTATTAGCTTTATATGACGTGGCAATGTCATACAGCCGACTGCCGACTAAGTTATTAACCATGCTCTAAGGAACTCACTTGCCCAAGCATCAACACCAGGTTCAAACAAGCACGATCTAACATCGTCCGCACTAATCCATTCTGTCCATAATAAAAAGCAAATAAAATAAAATAAAATCTGAAGGTACCTCACGGAAACGCTGCAATGGTATGGAGTAGACATTTTTTATAAAAAAATATAATAAAAATATAAATAATAATATAAATATCCTACACGTAGCCCACCATAATCCAGCCTGCGTTACCCTCACATCGTACGCCGTAAACTACCAACTCACAGCGCTACAGGATGGATGAGCTTGAGGCTTGAGCTCCCGCGCGCAATCAGACAAACCCGCAATTTGTTGGTCTCGTTTGCCCCGAAACAGTCCGCGCGCCGCCGTCAACACGGCGGGTGGGTGACGACTGACGAGGGCTCGTTCGTGCCCGTGCGCTTGCTCCCATGGTTTCCAGTTTCCACCACCACCCCGCACCGCGGGCCGGGACGCCGAGCCGCGACCGCGAGGCCAGCGGTGGGTGCGGAGCCACTGGCGACAACATGCACGAGAAATATCAATACCACCGGTGTTTTTTAGCGTTTTCCCCTCGCCTCTCCCCCCAACTCCCGGATGCCTCCCTCTGTAGCTGTACTGCTCTCGCTCCTCTCAGTCCAGCTATCCCCCGTAGACTTCGCACCAACCCCTCTCGCACACACCAAAGAGGGAAAAAGGCCTTGTTTTTTCTTCGGGAAAAGGAGAGGGAGAAAATTAGCACCAAATTTGGATTTTGGGTCTCCCCTCGTTTTATTTGGCGTGTCCAAACATTGACTAATTAGGCTTAAAACGTTCGTCTCGTAAAGAGGGAAAAACATTTAATGCCTTGTTTTTTCGATGTGGCTTCGGGAAATCGGAGAACTAAAAAGGGTAGCAACTACCAACTCCTTCTCTCTCTACTGTCCAGCCGCGGACACCAAGGCAGGCAGGCGGACAGGGGAGGCAAGAGGCGAGCTCGGCGAAGGCGCTGAGGGAGGGAGACAGCCAGCCGCTGCATTGCGCTACATTGGGCAGGAGGAGGGCTCGCCGCCGGGGGAGGCTCGGATCTTGGCGTCTCTGTCCGGCCGTAAGCTGCCGCCCGCTTCGTTTGGTGGCGCTGCGCCCATTGGCGGGCGGGCGGCCTCGGTCCAGCGCGGCGTGATCTGGCGCGCGCCGCCGACGCCGCTCGCGTGGGGAGGCCTGGATCTTGACGCGCCGCTGTCGCTGCCGCGAGACCCTGGGGGGCGGCACGGTGTGCTCATCAGTCGCCCGCAGTCCGCTGAGCTGCCTACTGCGCCCGGCGGGCGGGAGATCTGGCCGACGGCGCGGCGCTGCAGATCCCCTGCCTGCGCGGGCACGGCTCACTGCTGCTTTGGAGGCTGTTGCGCGCGGCGGTGCCGATGGGCTACGGGTACGTGGATCCCTTCCTGCCCCCGCAGCAGCAGCAGGCGGCGTACGTCGCGCCGCAGGCGCAGCCGGCTCCGCGGCCGCCGGCTTGCCCGTACTCGTCGTCCGCCTCCGCTCCGCCGGTCTCTGCGTCCTACCATTCTTCGCCTCCACCGGTAAGTAGCCCACCTCCGGCGTCCCCTTTGCCGGAGCCATCGCCGCCGCCTCCTGCACCATTGCCGCCGTCGCCGCCGCCCGCCGCCACCGGCATTGTCGCCTCCTCCGCCAGACGCTCCCCCTCCGTCGCTTCCACCGTCACCGCTGCCATATCCAACCCCGTCACCGCCTCAAGCCCCGCCGCCCCCGCAGGCGACGGACCAGCCGCGCGTTCAGCCCCGCGTATACCCATCACCGCCACCGCCGTCCCTTCCTCCGCCGCCGCCTCCCACCGTCTCGCCGCCATCGCCGGCTCCATCCAACTCACCATCGCCGTCGCCTGCCCCAGCTGCACAAGCTCCGTCTCCCGCGCGTGTTGCTGCCTATTCGCCTCCCCCGCCAAGAATCGCCCCTCCGCCGCCGCCGCACTATCACGGCAAGTCGCATTACACGCCGCACTTGCCCGTGAAGTCGCATTCGAACTCGACCCACGCAGCTAGTGGCAGCGGCAAGAACATCGAGATATCGAGGGAAGCGGCCACCACCATTGTAGCACTGGCCGGTCTCGCTATGCTCAGCTTTATTGGCGCCACCATTTGGTTCGTCAAGAAAAAGCGCCGGCGCATAGAGCCCCCGGCAGCACTGCCTATACAGCAACCAGCTCCACCACCACCGCCCAATTACATTCCATCTTCGGCTGGATCCTCACTAGCTTCAGGTAAGAGCGCAAACACTGGTGTTACGCATTCCCCAATTTTAGACATCAAGCTAGTGCTAAGTGTTTGTGCTGGACAGACGGGTTCTACTTGAGATCGCCAGGGTATCCTTTCATGAGGTACAGCACCGGGAGCCATGGTTTTCCATACTCTCCAGCGGACTCTGGGATTGGGTATTCCCATATGCTGTTCACACCAGAGAATTTGGCAGCTATCACAGATGACTTTGCAGAAGAGAACCTTTTGGGAGAAGGTGGATTTGGGTGTGTGTTCAAGGGCATTTTGCCAGATGGTCGCCCAGTCGCCGTCAAGAAGCTCAAGATTGGGAATGGGCAAGGCGAGCGTGAGTTCAAGGCTGAGGTCGATATTATCAGCAGAGTACATCATAGGCATTTGGTTTCTCTAGTAGGCTATTGCATTGCGGAGGGCCAGCGAATGCTTGTTTATGATTTTGTTCCCAACAACACACTTTATTACCACCTCCATGGTGAGGACATTTTTCTTTCAGTTATAATACTTTCTAACATTTATTTAATGCCAGCTTCATTAGAACACTAATTGTTCATTGATTATATGATCATTAACTTGACCTCTCAAAACTGCAGTAAGTGAAGCATCACTGGATTGGCGGACAAGGGTTAAGATTGCAGCTGGAGCAGCCCGAGGGATTGGTTACCTCCATGAAGATTGTAATATTTTTACTAAACTATTTCTTCAGCAATCCCCTAATGTCGGATAGTTTTCTTAGTATTTGTTGTTTCTGTTGATTAGGTCATCCACGTATTATTCATAGAGATATTAAATCATCCAATATTCTGTTGGATAACAACTTCGAAGCTCAGGTATGATGTGATTTGCTATATAAGTCTAGAGGTCAATATTTTCGTATGCTATTGTGATCATAATTATCGTCTAAATTTGTTATATTCTATGGAAACTATCCAGGTTTCTGATTTTGGACTTGCAAGGTTAGCTGCCGATTCCAATACACATGTTACCACACGTGTCATGGGGACATTTGGGTAAGTAATGAAGCAAATCCACACCATCTTGCATTTTTCAGAGTTTATTGGCTAATCTATGCCCAATATCTAGTTTAGTTTACAGAACTAATATGATATATATCCTCTCCAGGTATTTGGCTCCAGAGTATGCATTGTCAGGCAAGTTAACAGCAAAGTCTGATGTATATTCTTTTGGGGTTGTTCTTTTGGAGCTTATTACAGGAAGAAAACCTGTTGATGCTTCTCAGCCGTTGGGAGATGAAAGTCTGGTCGAATGGGTGAGTTCATTTTATATAATAGTTGGACTTACTGCATGCCACTAATGTTAGGTTCTAATGTACGCGTAAATTTTATGATTTTCAACCAGTAACCATAGTCATGAGATCGAGATCCACTAATAAATAACATGATCATTTTGTGATACACCAATGGATGTGTCTAGACTTCTTCAAGCTTCGACTGTTGATTTCCTGTTCCACAGGCTGTCAATAAATATCCATTAAGTTGATGTGGAAGTGGAATGCCTCAAAATTTGAGTTCTATCTTACAGTAGCTAATTCTCTGCTGATGCTTTCACTAGTTAATTCTTTTCCCTTAAAAGCTGAACGGCCATTGTATTTCTTCCATGACATGAACATTGCTTCTGGTTGTTATACATAATATGTTTAATCCTTCCGTTGGTCCCATTTGCATTGCATGTCAACCAAGAGTGATCTGGAGGGAACCCAGTTGCTAAAAGTTCTAGGAACTGTACCTTTTATAAAGTGGGCAGCCAGATTATTCTTCCAGAGTGGCACGCAAAAAGTGGCTAGAGTGCTAGGGACTTATTTATTGCAGTCTTCATAATGTGATTCAGCATGAAAGAAGCTCAGATGGGAACTTAGCAATGACTCAAGGAGTTTGATGCAGGACCAAAGCAAAACACCAGTTATAACTGTTGTAATCATGAAAGGAGCTGACACATTACACAAATGACACCTAAATTGATCTGAACACATTCCTAAAGAGCACAAGTGTAGATATGCAAACCACAAGGGGAGAGACAAGAATTTTTTCCCCATATGTGGCGTGTCCAAGGATCACCGCTACTCTACTAGCTCAACCAGCCCTCAAGCTTGACTACGACATCAGAGCTAGTGATGCTAATCCATAGTTGTTTGATATAATTAGAAAGTTTCTATGTCTTTTACAATGAATAATATGAATGCCATATGCAATCAATGAGATCGGTTGTAACAGATACCATGGGGGCTATATTTGGCTCAATGTGTGTGTGTGTTTCTATTTTTCATTGTGAGAGCTTAGCATTTGGACTTGGACAGGCTTACTGCTATTATGATCTTAACTCAACCTTATGCATGTTGGAAAATTTTCAGGCTCGCCCAGCTTCTGATGAAGGCAATCGAGCATCGGGAGTTTGGGGACCTTCCTGACCCTAGGATGGAAAACAGGTTCGATGAAAACGAGATGTTTCATATGATAGGAGCCGCAGCTGCATGCATTCGGCATTCTGCAGCAATAAGGCCACGGATGGGGCAGGTAACATAGTCTGCAACACCTTTTTTTCCCCAATTCCTGAATGCCTGACAACAAAGGATCAAAATGTGACTGTCTCTCATCTCCCAGGTGGTTAGAGCACTAGATAGTTTAGCAGACTCTAATTTGAACAATGGCCTTCAACCCGGACGCAGCGAGGTATTCCTAGAGCCACAATCCGAGGAGATTAGATTGTTCCAGTTGAGGGAATTCGGCAGCCGGGATTGTAGCGACGAGTTGAGCCAAGCAAGCTGGAGAAGCCGAAGAGATTTGTGAACAGATTCGGTACAAGATCATTAACATTCTTTTTGGTCATTCTTTACATGTAATTATCTCTTTTACATGATTCTTTTTTTCTTTCTTTCTTTTTGTTACTCCTCCCTGAGGCAATTCTTGTTCCCGGTGGAATAAATTTTGCATTCTTTCAGGAGATAAGCAAATGAATCCTCTTTTTTTCCCAGTGAAAGAGTACACAGAAAGTATTGTTCCTGGCATTCTCTGATAAATACTCCAGTAAACAATCATACTATGCTTCCTCACTGCTTTTGGAGCAGGCCAGTTGCTGCCCTTGCACTGCAAGTCTCTGTATAAGGATTTGCAGTTCACTGTGTATGCTTAAGAGACTCTACAGGCGTTGCGTTGGGCGGGCAGAAGTACAATGATTGGCGGTGCTAATTTTTATTCGTGATGAATTGCATGCATCCTACGCCCAATTATTCCCACCCTCCGTTTTGTCAAAAGGCTGGGCGGGCACATATCATTGAGATTTGCATAGATCCCCATCCCTCGCGCGTCGATCAGGATCGGTGGATCGCCTTGACGCGGTCGCAATAATTCGGAGCGGCAGCCACATGATGGAGAACCGGTGGCAGATGGCAATGTCTTACCAAGAAATACGCGTACGAGCTGCGTGGATGGAGCAGCGACGGCTGCACCGCACGTCTGTCGGTCGGTGTCGATTCTTCCTGTTTTTTTTTCTTATTAAGATCACATAGCACAAGCACACTCTCACAATGCACACACACTCAACCTCCATGAATGCATTCACGTAAACCCTACCCTGTGAGCATCTTCGAAGTCTGGGCCGACAAATCGTCGGGACGAGATTGACGAAGTCATCATAGGCGTCTCACCGTCGATGGAAACGTTGCGTACCACTAAAAACACAATACCGTTAAATGGTCAAATATTCACTCTCATGGGGAGTTAAACTCAGAACCTCAGGTGCTGCTTACAGGCCCTTTTGCCTCTTCTTCTTGTTTTAATTATATTTTTCCTTTTCTTCGCAAAAAGTTGTTTTAGTTCGCCTGTCGTGGGCCACATCGGCTTTATCGGGAATCTAATGCAGAGCCCACGCCAGAGGAAGCCCAATAAAATTGGCGGGACGAGTGCCGAAGCACGTGTTTCACAACAATCGTTGGACAATATACAGCATGCATGTTCCGCGGGACCGCGGATTGTCCCCACGGCCCACGGCCCATGGGATGATGGTCCAACGTGAAAGTAGAGCTAGAAAGCACGCAACAAAGATCCAGGGGGCCCGAGACAAGTCCAACCTTGACGAGGAGCCGCCGAGCCGGCCCGGACCGGAGGCAGGACACACGTGGCAGCCGCGCCGCAGTTCCGCCGGAACTGCACGTGCGCGCCACCGTTTCCTTTCCGCGGCGCCACCGTTTCCTTTCTCCTAAACGATCGTAAATTTTCTCACATCAAACCAGCCAGCCATCGTACGATACGGCCTCCGAACAGGCTCATAGTCCATCAGTCCGTTTGCGCACGAGCCTCGCGTTGTCGTCTCGAGAAAGAGAGAAGGAAAATCGTTCGCGCATCCTCCCTCCAGGAACCCCAGAGGACGAAGAGATAAGCAGCCAGAGTCGAGGTCGAGCCCTGGATCGTCCCTCTTCTCGCCGCCATGGATTTCATGAAGGTGCTCGATCAGACCGTCCGAGAGATGTAAGAGCCGCGTTTCTTCTCATATTTTTCTTTCCTTTTTCTTTTTCTTTTTAAAATAAAGGACTTTTGGTGAACAGTTAGCTCTTCCTTCTCCCTTTTATTTTGACGCAAAAGAGGGAGGTGAACCTCAAGGTGCTCGAGGTGCCGGAAATCGAGCAGAAGGTTGGGGTTTTCTTCTATTGGAATCCGCACTCGGTCTAGCTTTGATACCCAGATGTTTCCTGGTGCTTCGATGTTTTGGGTTCTTTTTTTTTCGAAAACTGCTGGCAGGATTATGCCAGGCAAATATATTGATAGAGGAGAGGAATGTTTTGGGTTCTTAGATTTGTTTAGAATTCGATCACGAGGGTTTTTTTTTCCTCGAATGCAGGTTCTAGATGCCACCAGCGACGAGCCGTGGGGTCCTCACGGCTCCGACTTGGCTGACATTGCCCGGGCCACCAAAAGATAGTGGGTGCCAAATCTCAGTTTCTCCTCACCTCACTTGTTCTTAAATTTATTGTAATTCTTTTTACCGTTTTATTATCATTTTTTTTTTCTGCAGTGGTGAATGTGCAATGATTATGAATGTGTTGTGGCAACGGCTGGGGAACACTGGTGCAAATTGGCGCCATGTGTATAAGGTCAGTTTTTTAGAGAGAAATGACAACATGGAGTTAATTGTTGTTGAAAACAGTGTTTAGATTGTTCCTCCATACATGACTGCTTGCTTTATATCACTTACAGGCATTGGCTGTGATTGAGTATCTTCTGGCTAATGGAACTGAACGTGTTGTCGACGAAATTATTGACAATAGCTCACAGATTGCGGTATGTGTCATCAGCTTGTTCAATTCAAATTTCACTGCTTATAACACCTGATCTCATCTGATGTTTGCCTTTCGTGAAGAAACTTACAAGTTTCGAGTATGTGGAGCCTAATGGAAAAGATGTTGGGCTCAACGTGCGAAAGAAGGCTGAAAATGTTCTAGCTACTGTGGATGATAGGGAGAAACTTCAGCAAATCAGAGAGAAGGCTGCTGCTACGAGGGATAAGTGAGTCATTCATATCTTACTTACTGATGCAGCATGGTATTCTTTGCAAAAATCTCATCTTTACATGGATCATACATGTAGGTACTTTGGTTTGTCATCAACTGGAATAACGTACAAGTCAGGCGCAGCATCTGGCAATGGCAGCTACTCATCTGGTAGTCACTATGGAAGCACACAGAGTTCAAAAGAAGCTGACACATCCAGTAATAGCTACAGAGGCAAGGAATGGAGTAACCAAAGTAAAGGATCAATTTCAAAATTTAGAAGTACTAGACAAATGTCGAGAAAAAACACAAACAGTGCAACTAACTATAAGCCAATAAAGGGAGAACGGCGTCACAGGAGGTAACTATTTACTTCAGAATCCCTTCAGCGACCATTTCTTAGATAATTCTTTTCATTGTGATGCGTGTCACCCTGAAAGATATGTGGTATGTTGTAGAAATCAAGATTCTCCAACATCACACCTGAAATCATCATCAAATCTTCATTCCACATCTGGAGGAACAATTTCACAGAAAGCAAATAAAGACGACGACGATGACTTCAACCCTCGAGGACCTTCCACATCTGGTTTGTATTCCTCTACTTATGTGGAACATTCTGGTGTGATTGTTGTATTAGAATGGTTGCTTTGTGTTGGTAGCCGTTGTTATTTTGCTATGTATGTACTGAAGCTTGCGTCAGAATTCTTCTGGTTATTAGTATAATGAGCTAAGGCACAAAGATTTTTCTATAGATTTATTTCGATTTGACCACATCTATCGTTTTGTTGTCACACATTATACTTATCTCTACCTTTAAAATGCATCAGGAACAGCTAATGTGAGCTCTAATCATATGGATCTCTTTGGACCAAGTTTAATGGATGACCTTGTGGACACCACTGCATCTACTTCAAGAGCTCTGCCACGTGCTGGAATTGCTTCTGTGCCAGAAGTTGATTTATTTGCTAATGCAGATTTCCATTCTGCTACTCCAGCAACTGGTTCTCACGCACAGGTTTACCCTAGTCTAGTATCTAGTGATACCTTTTTAATAATTCACTTCATTTTACATATCTTGCGGTTGTTTATGTTGTACCCTACATAAATATGATACAAAAGGGTGCGCTTCCTGCAGCCTTTTGCAGCTGCAGCTGTAGCTGCAAACAGCAAACTGATTCAGCATGCCGCTGCAGCCAAAAAAAATCACAGACAAACAGGCTGAAAATCTTCCCATGGCAAATGAATACTCCCTCCGTCCACGAAAGAATGCAATTCTCGCTTTTCGAGAAGTCAAACAGATTGAACTTTGACCAAATTTATATAAAAAAGTGCAAACATTCATAATACAAAATAAATACCATTAGATTAGTTATAGAATATATTTTCATAAAAAATTATTTGGAGACATAAATGCTAATAATATTTATTATAAACTTGGTCAAACTTAAACTACTTTGACCAGCACGCATCCCATAATTACATTCTTTTACGGACGGAGGTAGTATCACACTTCAAGAAGGACGTAACTTATGAGGACCCACTTTTTCAGTGACACAAGAACGGAGAATCTGCTCACGGCAAATGAAGAATATATCCTAATTTATATTGACTATGTGGTCAACACTTTACAAACTTGATTAATGAAACACTTGATGATTACAATTACTTACTATGTTAACATCAGTTTCCTAACTGCCGCTTCCTGGATGTCATCACAGGACATTATTGATCTATTTGCGGGCAGATCATCATTTGCTGATTCCATTAATTCAGATACAGAATTCTCAGGACGCGGAAGTAATAAATCCTCAGAGCATAATCCATCTTGCCTTGCACATTCTTCAGCCTCTGTTTCTGATCCCTTCCAACCATTCTTTGCAACATCATTCCCTTCGGACATAGAGTTCTCAGCGCGTGACACCCCAGACAAATCTAAAAACCCAATTCACCAGCATTCCATTGCTGCAGATTTTGATCCTTTTGCTGCAATTGCAGTGAGGAATCTTGATGGATCTGACTCCGATGTATTCTCTTCAAATACAGGTTCAGGTCTTAATGAACCAAGACATGATCCTCCTGTAAGTGTCAAAAGTTCCGATCATAGTCCTTTAGAGGAGCTGAATTTTGGTGCCTTCACTTCACATACGGAATTGCCTAAAGCAATTGCTATCAAATCCTTGAACAAATCACCCACAAAGCCGGAGCCGGCCTCTATGTCAGCATCAAAAACAGATGTGAAGAAAGGAGTCTTTCAGGTCAAGTCTGGCATATGGGCTGATTCTTTGAGTCGTGGCCTGATTGATCTGAATATAACTGCCCGTATGTACTTCTATAACCCATTTTCTTTTATATGCATGTATTTAGTGGGCCCTCTGCATTTATGTTTTCACAGAAACTTTATTAGCTTTATGCATGTATCATGCATGAATTATAGTTCCTGCTCTGTACATACGAAAATTGCAAAATTGCAAACTATATATCATGAGTTGCAGTCTCAGTTCAACACATGCAAAGTTAGTTTCTCTATTAGTAGGAACGATGAGGAACATATTTCAAGATTCTACTTTGTGTATTCTTTTACATATATAAAAAGATGCCTTATACAATTAAGCAGTAATAAGTTTCCAAGGCAACAGAAGGCTAGATTACACTCGGTACAGTAGCTTATGAATGCTCTTATTCTTATAGCTTATGAGTGTTCATCATTATATGCAGCAAAGAACAGGGGCGAAGGTAGAGCCCAAAGGATCCGAGTGCACACTTGACACTTCAATATATACATGTAATAAAAATCTTGTCCAATGTATACAAAGTCAAAGGAAATGCTTACCAAAATGGAGAATCTGGTACTCTTGATCGTTAATATTAATAAACCCCAACAAAATATTATATGATATGTATACAATTGGCAAAATACACCATTAAATTGACTGACAATGACCTAAAAAAGTGTTAATTAGATGATCCAATATTATAAGAAAAAATTCGATTCACCAATTGGAAAAATGGTAAGAAATCAATTGATTACCTCTTAGTATTTTCGGTTTCCACTTTTCCTAAAGCGATCCACTACAACGTCATTTGTAACTTTCAACATTTTTCTTTCTCCACGTAGCAAATGAGACTGTGATTGATGTACTCATCACCCATACGATTGCGCAATTGTGTTTTCACAATTTTCATGGCTCTTTTAACCTTTCTTTATTGTACCAAGTATTCCAACCATCTAAAACAAATGACTTGTACCCAGCCTCCTGGGGTCTCTAAACAAGAAACACGTAAAACAGTAGGCTCTATCGGTAGACTCACTGTACTCAAGCCAATTTCCAAATTCATCAAACCATTTAGGATTAAACCAAAATTAAGAGTGCGAGGCTGACAAGGTCCATTTGCAAGTACTTTCTTCAAACAGATTCTCTAAGATTAGGGTGATAAGAACATATTTCTTTTATTTTACCAGGATCAAATTGGATCTCCTCCTCCCAATTGATATCTTCTGGAGTGGTATTGGATTAACATTAACATTGTTGTTTTGCTGATGAGAATTACCAAGATTGTTAGCATCATCCGGCGCTTTCCTTTTTAACCATCTTTCCATAAACGCACCTGTAACACAATTTTTTTAAAATGTCAGTTATATCAATGCATCTCATGTCTTTCTGTTAAAGAATTAAGGGGAGGAAAAAGATTAATTGACCAAACATCCATAAACTTACTTGACATGATTTTTGTTTATTTCTTGAGTCTCAAATCTCAACGAATCCTTCCTGAATCCTGAGTACCGGCAAACAGATTACTTAAATTGAATCAGTAACCAATTCCGGGCTTCCGGCGAACAGACGTACCGCGGCGAGTCGGTGATCGGCGATGCCGCGATGGTGCGACGCACCTCCTTCTCTTCCGCGGTTCCGCCGCGGCGCCGCCTTTCTACGACGACTCGACTAGTTCTGAGTTCTGACGTTTGGGCGACTGGGCGGCGGACGGTCTCCGTGACCGTGAGGACTTGTGTCAGCTGTGGCCTGTGGGCGTCTGTTCAGCGCGTGTTTACTTGGCTGAAATTTGAAAATTTGGCTACGGTAGCACTTTCGTTTTTATTTGGTAATTAGTGTTCGATCATAGACTAATTAGGCTTAAAATGTTCGTCTCGCAATTTTCAATTAAACTGTACAATTAGTTTTTTTTTTTGTCTATATTTAATGCTTCATGCACGTATCGTAAGATTCAATGTGATGAGTATCGTAGCACTTTTTAAAAATTTAGTTGAGAACTAAACACGCACGGCCTCATTTCATCGTGGGCTACTGGGCTGTCAGGCTGTCAGCTCTGTACAGACTACAGACGGAAGGCTGTCAGCTGTCAATTCATCGTGGGCTTCATCGTGCGCTGGCTGGGTTGTTGGTGGGCCACAGTGGTGCACATAATTGGAGATTAGGGAGTGCACAAGGGGTAAAAATTAGTTAATAATCACTGAAAATTTGTTTTTACCCTGGTGCATGTGCACTCGGCAGCCACTGTGTAGCTTCGCCCCTGGCAAAGAAGGTCCATCATTCAGATATCGGGATTGTTGGGCAAATGGGTAACGGATCTGAGGAGAAAGCCTCAGCTGCTCCATGGTACATGGGTGCAACTATGCTCGATGGATCAGGCCTTGGCAGTTCTGGCTTTCTGTCGTCCACAGGAAACAATGGTGTTGGTGGAGCAGAGATTTCTAGCATCAGCAGTTTGGAGACATCTAGTGATCTTTCATCAAGAAGTTCTACTTTGCTTGGAGTGAACATGTCTTCCTCCTATCCATGCTCTATTGCTCTTGTAGAGTTGCAATATCTGATTTCTTGGACCATACCCTGTAGTGTATTCTAGAGATTTTAGAATAAATAAGAGAGAATACAAAAGACATATATATCGTTACCTTATTTTTCTAATCAGATGCTATCATTAGCATGGTCAATAGAATTTGGTTGATAAATGACAAGTAACGACATTAATAACTAATACAAATTTGTGCTACTATTTAATGCAAAAACTATCTTTCATTCCTAAAAATCTCTTATTTGGGTACTATTCTCTTATTTGGGTACTATTTTTAAATGTTTGAATGTAGCATATTATAGGGTGGAGGGAGTATATATAGTTCTGCACGTACACAACTGGGCACTTGTGATGTGACTATATGAGTACAAGTATTGCAAAATAGTTGTCACCTTTGCCTTTGATGTGTAATGTGTTATAGCTTTGTTGAATGATTGCATCTATTAGTTGATGCAAAGTTGTGCACTGTGAATAAAGCCTTCTAAAAGTTCCTCTGATAGAATAGAACGCCTCATTTTTTTTTGTATCACAGTTCCCAACAATGCAAGTAAGTCATGTAATTTGTTGCCTCTATTGTACAGTGTGCCGCCGAAATTGGCAACCAGTTACAAAAGCGCTAAACCTTCAGCATGATAAATACTAGGAATATTGCAGAATTTGAATCGGATAATGGATTCAATGATCAAGAAGCTGGAAGAAAGGGCGGTACGGCCACCAAGAATCTGTTGGAATAGGGATCTGCGACCAAGATTGGAGATATCGACTTGTTATAGACGCCTTTGTTGGGCATCAGTATAGGCGCCGGTCTAGGCCCAATCGTGGCTAATAAGGGGGCTTGGTTGGTTATGTTAGGAGAGGAAGAGAGGAGATTTAAGAGATCAGTTTTGGTATTTAGGAGATTTATTATGGTTTGTTAGGGGTGCACCTATCCTATAAAGGGGCACTTAGAGATTGTAATCAGATTATCGAAGAAGGAATAAACCTTCCAAAGTGGTCGGGTTTCCCTTCGACGGTGGCTATGAGCGATTCTGCCGCTGTCGCCGGCGAACCTCCCGCTGCACCACTTCCTCGCTATCCTCTACGTTCTAATTCTCAATCTAGCCTACTACTCCACTCTCCTCTGTGATCTCCTCATCGTACTCGCCCACGCCGTAACAATTTGGTATCGGAGACCTCTACGGGTGCATCGACAACCATGTCCGGCACTCGTCCCGATCCTATTGATGCCAAGCTTGATCGCATCTTTGGTCAGCTCACCACCATCACCAATCGCCTCAATTCCCATCACTCCAGATTTGCTCGTGTTGAATCAGGCAAGTGTAACACCCCTGGTGTTAGTCTTGCCTAATTGCACTTGCATTTCATGATCATGAGCATCATTCATCCATTCATGAGCATATATCACTTGAAACATGGGAAACATGACTTTGAAACAAGAGTATCATTTCAATTGTTTTTCATCGTTTCAGTACCTTTAGTGCTTAATTATTGTACGACCAATGTGTGGTATGGCTAAATACATCATTAAACATCTTAGCTATGCTTAGAAAGTCATTAGGAACAATGTTCATGTTGATCATTTTGCCTGATTAAGATTTCAAATCATGGTTTGACTTGTTTTGACCCTAGGACTTTTTGGTTTGACTGTTCAAAAAGTGCCACTTAGAATGTTTGCATGTCTGAGCGACCTAAAACAAAGTTGTAGCAAATTATATGAGGAACAAAAAGTATTTTGTGACCAAGTCATGAAAATGTGCACAACATGCTCAAAATGGTCCCACAAGTCAGAATTTGGGTTGATTTCAACACTTAGAAATTTTCTAAGTACAAAACTCCATTTTTCAGGTTTCATAAACACAACTTTAGCATGAATTTACTCTCTCCTTTTGCGAATTAGCTTAGGATTTCTATAGGACAATTGTAGCCCTATTGTAGATCTACAATTTTGCTTCAAGGAGAAATTGCTAACTCGCCACCGTTTTGGAGTTTGGAATCAACGAAAACGCTACTGTCGGTCGGTCTCATGGTCTCTCGATGGACCAGTTCAGCCGGCCACCGGCCGACATCGTCGAACCGCATGCCAAAGTGGTGGCCGTCCGTCGCTGCCCCTTCCCCGGGTCAGGCCATCGCCGCCATACGAAGACGCCACGCGCCCCTCTGCAATAGCCTATTTGATTTGCTCATGTCCCTTCGCCTCGTCGGTCCCCTCCGAGCCGAGCCGCGCCTCCGCCTTTTACTGCGCCGTGAGCACCGACGAGCTCCCGCGTAAGCACCACCGTACCTCGCCTCGCTCCCGTCACTTTAGCAACTCCACGAGACCTCCACTAGCTACTCGCCACCCTCACGCGATCCCACCGCCCTCGGGTGAGGCCGTTTTCGGTGTTTCAGCGCCGTCTCAACCTCGCCGGAGTTGGGGTGCTCCGTGGCCAGCCCCACCAGAGTACCTCATCTCCTCCGCTCTCTCCCGTCTCGTTCCCAGTGTGCTCTAGTGCTTGATTCAAGCCTAGCACAGCCTCTCTCATGATGTCGGAGATGGCGGCGCTCCGCACGGCTCTCCTCCACCGCAATCCGCCATGTGCGTCGGCGGGCTACCTCCGATGGCTCCACTCTCCCATCACCTACACCAATCGTTGCGCATTGTTGAGTAGGGCAGTCCGGTGACCTCGGCCTCGCCGGAATGCTCGTCGCCGGCGAGATAGCGCCGAGCCGCGTAGCGTAGACCCGCCTCCCCTGTTCTGTGTCGCTGTCACGCGGGCCCGTCTGGCATGCGGGGCCCAGCTGCAGCGACCGAGGGAAACCCCGGGTGCACAGCACCGGGTGCACCCAACGTTTGAGTTCGTTGGTTTTTCGGAAAAGGGTTTTAGAAATGGTTTCAAAAATTGATTCAAATGCTTAGTAAATGTATATCTCAAGTTGTGTTGCTCCAAAATGTATGAAACAAATTTTGTTATGCTTC